AAAAAAAAAAAAAAACGCAGCTAGTAGCCTAGCCAGATATACTTAAATAAACACTTGTTCTACAATCTAATGTAATGTTTTGAGCGCCTGGCGTGATTTCAAAGCAAAGCTCTCTAAAAAATGTTGACTACTGGGGTTTGCGACATGAGCTAGAAGCTACGCTCTCAGCCTACACAGTACATACTGAGTTCTGTCAGTTAAAGTGTTTCATAGCTTAGCTTAGCTAAGCATCAACCTAGCCAATGAAATGATGTTATGTGACAGTATTCTGAGAAAAGTCAGCTGAAATGTGCATGCCACTGCTTTACCATGCTCGCACAGCCATGTTTGAACTGTATTCGCCAGCGTAAATGTGGCTGTTTTGGCCACTGACGTTGCCGATAACACACCTGAATAAAGTGCAACCTCTTTTGTGGGACAGATTTTTACATGAAATTATAATCTTAGCTGAATGATATTCCTATTGACAGCCCTAGTTTCTATGGTGAACGATTATGAGGGATCGACAGCCAGAGAGAATAATGAAAAACAGTTGCTGAATACTGTCACATAACATTCATTTCATTTGCTAGGTGCATGCTTACTCAAGCTAACTATGAAACACTCTTAACTGACAGACCTCATTATGCTACTGCGTGCTACTGTAAGCTAGCTTCTTAGCTCATGTCGAACAGCTAAAGTCAACATTTTTAGAGCAGCTTTCTTGAAATCACCAGGTAAACGGCCCTCAAAACATTACATTGTAGGATTGTGATGACTAAGTGTTTATTTAAGTAGTATCTGGTAGCTATAGCTACTTGCCTAACGCGGTTTAGGCTTACTCCCCCTGATTCAAAGTAACTTCAACGTAGCTGTAATTATGCTTTGCTTTACATGTTCGCATATCTTGGAAGTTACTGACAGAAAGATGTTTCTATGTCATCTTCAAAAACTCTGAGTCCGGGTGGTTGTGCGGGGGTGGGGGGGGGGGGTGTCCGATGACAGTTTAAACATTGTCACAGCTCACCAGGATAGGCACCTGTCAGCCAATAAACAGATTATTCCATTCAACTCTCTGGTTGGTCTAGTGTCTTGCCTCTGTTGCATTCACTGAACACGGGAAATTACAATTCTGCCGTCCTCTCTAGTGTCATGATGAGGTTCAGGTAAAGCATGGTGGATGTATTATATGATTGACTCAATAATATAATACATGACTTTGAGAGTAGGCAATCTAGGCATATTAACACAATTGATTAAACATACTTATCACGGCGACGGTGTACTGAGATATTTTTATTTTATTTTTTACATTTTTTATTTTTTTTGCTAGGGAGCCCCTAGTGGCTGCGGGGCCCTAAGCGGGCGCTTATGTCGCTTAATGGGTCGGGCCGGCTCTGGACCCAGGCATCCAGGTAACTTGTACTTTGTCCTCTCTTCCCAACAAACTCCTCAACAAGCTCAAGATGATACAGATCTGCTGCTACAGATCACCCCATCCTCTGCACTGGCTCCCTCTTCAATACCTGAACCGGAATTCCACAAAACCGGTTCCAGGGCCGGGCTAGAGCCTGATTAAGGTTCTTCCTGTTTCCACCGCAGTGCTCTAAGTTATAACATAAGCGGTGATGTCATGACGCAGCACCAGTCGGGCTCTGGGAGGTGGAAACACAACTGGGGCTACAGAGAAGAACCAATTAAGCACCAGAAAAGCACTAACACAGAGCTAGAACTGGAACTGGTTTGGTGGAAAAGGGGCATTACTCAACTACAATGGGTGCTAAGTCTTCCACTGCCTCCAGACTCTGGAGGTTCATTCAGTCATACAGAGTGTCGATTGCTGCAGTGGGATGTTTTGCTAGATGTGTTTTGCCTTAACAGGGAAGACCACTGAGGGTCTTTTCTTTGTCCTGCTGTCTGCAGGAGCAAAACCCACAGCCCCGTCTCAACATCACAGATCCTGTTGTTCCCAGGAAGAATCCTAATAGTTGCCTTGACATGTGGTAACATATTTGGGGAGGCATGTTGACCTACAGAGTAATTTCTAAGTTGTTCTCATATCTGTGTTAGTGTTGTGTATTGTTGGGATACCTTTTGATGACTTGTTTTCTGTAAGCAGGATCAGCTGGATCAGGATCAGTGGTTATGGTCGTACTTCACTGTTCATCCTCGCAACAATTCCTGTACCAGTGTTAAAAGTACTCAGATTCTTAACTGTAGTGAAAGTAGAAATACTATGATCTTCAATCACTCCACAACAAGTAAAAGTCGTGATTTTAAAATCTAACTTAAGTAAAAGTACAAAAGTATTCGCATCTTAATATACTGTAAGTACAGAAAATAAAAGTGCTAATTCTGCACAGTGATCAATTTCAGAACTAGATAAAGTGTCATCAGCTACATGTACTTTGAGTATCAACAGTGAAAGTATTAGTTATGCAGAACTGACCTTTTCACACTATTATATTATTATGGTTATTATATTATCCTGTTATTATACATGTGTCAGCATTTTCATATTGTAGTTTGTCAATGTGGAGCTACTGAAGTACTGTGGTGATCAGTAGTACAGTACTGCATTATACCATATGTGACCCGCTCTATTGAAATCAGTCGGAAGTCGCAACGGCTCATTTCAAAATAAACGTGGATTTGCGTAAAAAAATAGTTTTTCGGGGTTCGGGTGTTTTGTTTGATTTTAAATAATCAAAGTCTTGGTTTTCAGAATATGAAACTTTTATTTCCAAAATCACTTGATAAATACATTTTTGAAGCTTGTAAAGGGAAGAAGACAGCTCTCACTCGCCACTCTGCTGTTCTACAGCGCCGCTCCACCTCCCTCCGGCTGAAATTATGAATGTAAGGCGTATAGTAATCATAGATAATACGGCAGGTTCCGTGACAGTTTGTTTTCATCTGATTTCAAATAAACAAAGTCTTGGCTTTCAGAATATTATATATATATAACTTGTTTCGGAAAAATCTGATGATAAATACAACTTTGAAGCTTGTAACGGCATAATTACAAGCGGAGAAGGGAGTAACTTGACGTCACAGCAGGCATAACAACAGCCGGTGTTTCTCGTGAGTGTTTTCCCCGGGAAACAAACACCACACACAAACGCACACACACACAACTTTGATCATTTGCTCCGCTAATAATCAATCAGATCGATGAATTCCATAGAAGGGGAAACTTTGAAGGTCTTTTTCTCAAAATGATGACTCGGTAACAGTCATTATATAATGTGACATATTTTGCTTAATATTTCTGGAACACTCTTTCGCCTAAGTTTTCCATGAAATAGAGGGAGATTGTGACGTGAGGACTAAGAGAGTCCTACAACATCAAAGAGCATTGATACAGTTTATTGTTCACCAACAGAGTAGCCTACTGAGGTCTGAGCTGAGAAGTCTCAGGAGGAAATATCAACTCACACAGCGAAAAGCTTACAAGTCACACAGCTTACAAAATATGTTCACTTGTTCTGCGTTCTATTCCCTTCCTTTTGCATGGTTATGCGCCGTTTGCATGAGAAGTTTTTTACCTGTCACAGTGAGCACCATGCTGGCCACTTGGTAGCCGATTGGATTGCGGGCGACACATTCATAGCGTCCGGCATCAGCAGTGCCCACGTCCTTCACCTCTAGAAAACCTTCAGGGCTGATGTGGAACTTGCCGCTCTCTGTCACCTGTACACCATCCTGGAAAGAGGGTAGGGGGTGGGACAAGGCTTGAGTTCAGGACCCTGGGAGATAGCATGTTTAGGTGTGTATCAAACTACAAGACACCGATTAAGAGCCTTGCAGATGGGACCTGTTGTGTGGGCTGGTTACTTAATAAAATATGTTTTTGGACGGAAATTTCAGCTTAAACTTAACCTTATTAATCAATGAGTCACTTAATAGTCATATATTTTAAGTTCTGCCACTAGGAGTCTCTCAAAACAATGTCAGAGAAGCCTTGGATGATGAGAGCTTGTCATTGCAGTTAGCATCTCCGGTTGATGGTTAAATCTTTCAAAAGGTTTCGCGGAGGTCCCCTCCTCTATAAACTTGTCCTAAGCCCATGAACTATGTGGTGGTGAGGTGATAAGCACCTTACCCAGCCCAGAGGACCTTTATCATCTAACCTTGTTCCAGGTGAGCACAGGTTGAGGCTGGCCCTGAGCGCTGCAGGGAATCTGGACGTCCAGGCCAGACTCTGTCGTCAGGTCCCTTGGAGCATTTGTGAAAACAGGCGTTACTGAATGAGTTAAAACATACACACACATATGCATGTGTTAATGATTATGCATCAGTGATCAAAGTATGTACATTTCATTTCATCACACATTCATCAATCACAGCAGAAACTCTAAGACTTAGTCTAGGCATTTGACTTTCTGCGTAGGCTAAAAGATCATTTACATACACACCTCTTTTGTCTATTACAGGGAGCAGAACATTAAACATCTTAAAGTCAGCTTACAGATCAAAGAGAATGAAGACGATCTGTATTCTAAAACCAAATGATACATTTCTTTATAAGGCAGCAAATAATGTGATGAGCAGTTGGTGGAACACATTTTTCTGTAATTCATCAATTCATTTGAAATGTTTTCCCTTTTGACTTTTGTGTAAGTCTTTTACACGATAATGTTAACCAAACACATATATACGTTTTTTCTGACTACAGGGACAATGTACGTGAAAAGAGCTGTTTTCCATTGTTGTACAGGGATTAAGTTGGTCAGCAATCACAAACCACTTAACTACCCCCCAACACACACATACACACAGTTTTGAGCATTGTTACAGTGAGTCACTCTGTTATACTGTTTAAGATTCATAGCAGCTGAATTCCACACACACACACACACACACACACACACACACACACACACACACACACACACACACACACACACACACACACACACACACACACACACACACACACACACTATG